TTGACATCTTACCCAGGCACGTGGATTTCTTGGGTGGCAAATTGGCAAACGGTTGCTTTCCCCCTACTCCCTTCAGTCCTTAAGTTCTAAACCCTAAACCATTAGTTTTGAATTAGAGTTTCCAGGAATACGGGATCTTAGCATAGAGTCTGGTAGGACGCACGAAGCTGCTCCGTACCGTAGTGTTCGAGCTCGAAGAGATAGTTACAGTAAGTAAGACAATTAAGAATACTATTGCTGCTACTACAACAACTTCTACTGCTACTGCTACGACTGCGACTACGACGACGACTTCCACTACTTCCTAGAATAAGGAGGTATAATGGAGCATGACCAAGAACCCTTAGCAATTATTTCAAAACATGTTGACAATCCATAAACCCTAAACCGTAAAGCCGAAACCACTCTGTACACATCAGATTATATTTTATGATAATGATGATACGGAGCCCGAAGGAAGAATATAACCCCAAGGAATAAAGGTTGCTAAATATTCACAACCTCCATACCCACACCATCTCATCAGCTGATCTGGATTCTTGGTTGCCGGGCTCCTGGTTCAGAAGCCATAACCTCAAGCTTAGGCTTAGGGTATAGGTTTTAGGGTTCAGAGATGTAGAGATGTACCTATATTCTCCATTGTAGTACCTTTTTGGCGTTACCTTATAGGATCCTTAAAATATAATTGGTTAAACCAAAAAAGGAACTACAATGGAGACTATAGGTAGGGTTTAGAGGTCCTCAATCCCACTAGAACAAGCAAAGCCCTAAACCCGAAGCCTTAAACCCCCAGCTCCAGCCCAAATACTTGAAGCCTAACCCTAACTAAAGCCAAGACCTGCAGCCCTAAAGACCCTGGTAGTACCGTTCCGGAAACCTTAAACCCCTACACCCTAAACCCCTAAACCGTAATGCCTAAACCCCTAAGCCCTAAACCCCTATGAACCCGAAACCCCTAAACCCCTAAACCCTATAAACCCTATATAAACCCCACAAACCAGAAACCCCTAAACCCTAAAGCCCTAAACCTTTGTTTCTGGATCTGTCATGAGATCCCTTACTGTATCGGTCCCTCTGAGCACTTCAAGGAACCCCTGGCCGGAGGCTTCGGCACCGACATCTCGGTGCACCTTCCGCGCATCACAAGTGATCAGGTTGAAGAGATTTAATCTTGGATATTGGCTTGGTCATGCCTTATTGAACCCCGAATAGCCTAACTTTTTAAGGGTTGAAATTAGACTTCTATAAGAAAATCATAATGCGGAAACCTAAAAAGGTAGGTTATTCGGGGTGAACATGACGGTTTTAAGGGTTGAATAGCATCTAGGGTTTGAGGATTAGGGTTTGGGATTTGGGGTTTAGGATTTGAGGTGTCTTGGGTCCCACGTTTCCGTACCATCTGCTGTTCCTATGGCACGCATTCCCTGCCTTGTACGACAAGACAGTGCAGACTTGAGGACGGTAGATGTTGACTCTTTCGAATTCTTCTGTTTAATGTTGATTAGCGGAGTCTGGAGAAGACCTTTTGTGGAGCCAGTCTGAGTCTGAGCAATTCTCCCAAAGGCTCCATGTACCCATGTAGTAGTTACTTAGGCCTTAAAGTACCCATATAGGGACCCCTTTAAGGCCTAAGTACCTACTATATGGGTACATGGAGCCTTAGGGTCTGGTAGCTCTAATTTAGAAATTGGTCCAGCGCTGCCTGTAGCACTTGCCCGGCTTACGACTATTTCCCGAGTCTACTGTAGACCCCTGATAAGTACTGCAGCCCCCTTTCTTCAAGGTCCGGATTATTATCACCCTTAAGGGGCGGAGGTTTAGTTATCAGGCCTCTGCGTTCCACTCGAAAGCACAGCAATTCAAGCCTAAGTGGGCATTCCTTTTTGGACTGATGGAAGCGCGTCGACTCGAACCCGTAACTACCTAACTACCTACCAGGTGCCTAAAGCCTTAAACCCTATAGTATAGGGCTATTTTCGGGGGCTCCTTCCTAAAATTTATAGTATAATGGATCCCAAAATCAAATCTAGTTGTGAAGGCCCCCATATTAAACCACAGCCGTCACATTCTTGTTTTTGGGGTTTCGGGTTTACGCGGGTCGGGGCCAGGGTTCAGGGGTTTATGGTTGCGAGTGGGGCGTAGGGTTTAGGGAGTTTAGGGTTTAGGGTTAGGGGGGTGAGGTTTGAGATGTTGAGAGTGATTGCTGTATGCAGGTGTTCTGATATCGAAAACATTGCAACGCGAGTTCACACAGGCTCTCTCTCTCTCTCTCTCTTTTATTTATTTGTGTACGTATATGTATACGTATATGAAGTATATACACACAGTCACACAGTTTACGTTTTGGTATATGCGGGTCTCAGATGTGCTGCAGAATCTAGCTTATCCAGAATCTCGCAAATGTTTGTGTCTAACCACTAACCAGCCTAGAACATGCAAGTGCCACTGTTTGCACCGAACGAAGACTTATTGAAAAAAACGAAACCCTCAACCCAAACCCACTAGAATGTTATCCGTGCTCTTGCGTCATCCAACCATATCCAACACCCTAAACCCTAAAGCCCTAAATCCTAAACCCATAAACCTTTGTCTCGAAGGCTTCGGGCTAGCAGAAGAAGCACATGGCTTGAACGAACATAGGGCATAGGGTTTAGGGCTCCGCCGTACTGTTGCGGGGTCCTGCAGGGTTTCTTGTTTCGATGAGTTCAGGCTTTACCCTAACCTACAAGAACCTATTTTGTTGCTAGAGTTCCCATAGACTGCAGATTGGGGTAAATAATAAGGACCTACAAAAAAGTGGCTTCTGGTAGGTTACGGCAGCGTTTACATCAGACTGGCTTCCCGAAGCCTTGGCAGCCGAGAGGCAGCCAGGCATCATCTCCGCACCTAGGGAACCTATGGCCGGAGATGTTGATCTTGTTGAGTCCTCGGCCGTTCCACTGCGTCTGCATGGCTGCAACATGCCATGGGGCATTGATATTAAGGAAATGTTGATACCTTGTCGTTGGCACGTAGGAAGTTTTTCCTCGGATGCTTGCCACTCGACTGTCCAAATTGTGCCGCGCAGCGTACAAGTGGAAATGCCAGGGGGCCAAGCTCTCGCACGCCCAGGTAGGAAAACATGTCCACTGATGGGAATAGCCCTAAACCCTATACCCTAAACCCTAGTTAAACTCTAGCACATGTTGTCGAATCTTGTAGTTACGTGGCTGACTGCTTCAATTTCAATGTCTACGGGTAGTTATGAGCCGGGTTGAAAGTGCCGGTAATTGGGACGGGGAGGGTTTCCCAAGTAACTATAACAGACAAAAAGTCATAGGCAGAACTGATCCGAAAAACGTGGAATAAGTGCCATATCCTCTGATTATCCATGTCTAATTGGATTGCAATATACCCGAAGACCGTTATAGAGCCTTGAAGTAACCCAGTAAAGAAGCCTTGAAAGGAGCGCGAGTTCAACCATGATGGCGATTTTCCTACCGAGTTGGGAGCTGGTTAATGTTGGGCTTCGGTCCTGTGCCGAAAATGTGCCACCGAAATGACCCGCTTGCGAGGGTTCTACAAAAATCCACCGGAAGCTAGCGCCCGTGTGAGAGTGAGTATAGATATGTATATATACATATACATATGTTTGTGTGATAGAGGTTATGTACCTCTATCTCTGTGTATGTACCTGTGTAAACCTATCTGCTTATTGTTATCTACCCATGTATATATGTATATACCTACATATGTATGTATATATCTATATATTTATTTAAGTATACATCTCTAATTAATTTGCATTCATATGGCTTATGTGTGTACGTATTTGTTTGTGTGCATATTCAGTGCGAAACAGCGAGACGGACAGAGGCAGAAAAAGAGAGAGAGAGAGAGAGAGAGAGAGAGAGAGTTGTTGGTGGCTGCCTTCGTCAGAAGCGGCACTAATTCCCCACCTCCACATGCATACATTGTACCTCTAGTCTCCATTGTGGTTCCTGTTTTTGGCTAACCAGTCAGTTCGATGGTTAGGATTCTATAGTATCTGTTTGATCAACCCAAAAAAAGGAACTACAATGGAGACTATAGGTAGCCCAAAAAAGGAACTACAATGGAGACTATAGGTAGCCCAAAAAAGGAACTGCAATGGAGACTATGGGTATACTCACGATATACTGGACCTAGCATAATACCCGGAGAAGCCGCCCCTTGTCAGTAGGACCCTGGCTTACTTGGAGGGTCGGGGGACTTAGTAAGCAGGGGCTCCTTTAAAGGGGATTCTAAGGGTTCCTTTGAAGGGCTCTATAAGGGTACTATAGGGTTTAGGGTTTAGGGGTTTAGGGGTTAGTAAGTAGGTAGTAAGTAGACTTATAAGTACCCTAAATGGGACCCTAACTGGGGTTATGGCACTTATAAGTCCCTAATGTAACCATTTACTAAGTCCCCCGACCCTCCAAGTACTGGACAAGTATTGGAAGGGCCCGGTTGGACTTTCAAAAATGATCAGTGCTTTAGGCTTGGCTCTAGTTTGTAATGTACACGCAGTTTGGGGCCCTCAACCCTAAACCCTAGACCCATTTCGTCTGGTCTCGGTTTATACTATACGAGCTTTTGTCGATTCCATCAGGCTCTTCGAACAGCCCCGGCTGCTTCCCACGTCCATAGTCTTCCCACCACTAGAAGTAGTCCGCAGAAAAGGGCAACCCAGGTGGTGTTCTCATATGGGTAGTTCTCTAAATTGTACGGCACCCTTATAACACGGACCCCAAACACAGGGTTCCGGGCTGAGGGTCAAACGAAGCATGCTGGCAGTTGCTAATATAGGGGACTTAATAATTAGAATAGGGTTTTGGGGCCCATCATATTATCTTTTTAATAAGGACCCCTCAAAAAAGAAACACACACACACACACACACAAAAAAAAAAAAACAAAACAAAACAAAATAACACAAAAAGTGTGTGCAATTATTAAGGCCCGTGTATTATTCGAGCCTGACGCTCCGAACTCCATGTCCAGGAGAACGGCGAGGCTCCGGAAGAGTGTCAACTGGAGGCTCAAGCTACGCGGCTCCTGGTTGCTTATTTCGTTGTTCCTTTTTGGGGTCATGGCTTCTGCTAAAGAGATCTCCAAAAGGCATATTTTGTTCATTTTCTCAAGGGTAGTTTCGAATATTCGCTAGCCGGATCCATGCATCAGCGAGCTTTCGGCCTGGAAATGATGTAATCGTAGGGGCCTGAAAATCCAGTTTGTTGTGTTGGGTCAGTGTGGTGTAGACTGTAGGGTTGGGGGACTCTGCTGAATGGTCCCCTCCAGTTTGGCTTTCTTTAAAGAATATAGCTGAAGTCATATTTGGGATCCTACTACACTTTTAGGGTATAGTCCTTAATGTAGGGATTTTTTGAAGGTCTGGGGTGGTAGTGCTTTGAGTCAGGTGGCTACAGACATTGCTAATCAGGCTATAGGTTTATGGATGTGCAGTGGTGGCTCTGTTGGGTCTGCCCTAATTGCTTGAGCTTCCGCTGGCGCAAGGGGCAGGAATTCTTGACTTGATTTTGGGGGACACCTGCATCTTAAAGCCCACAAAATAGTCTGCTGTGACCCCGTTGTTGGAGGCTAAGTTTCCTCAAAGCAGTAGGGTTTAGACCCCCCGGTCAGGCTGTCATACCGCCAAAACGATAGTCTGCTTAGGAACTACTTTTGTTGAGGTTGTTCATATAAAACCCAAGACAACACAAAACATAAGATGTGTATTATGGTTCTAAGGGCGGTACTTGGAGGTTCATGGGTAGTTATAAGTGGGGTTATAGGTAGGGTACCTGTAGTTATAACCCATGTTAGGGGACCTAGGACCCCACTTTAACTAGCAATGCCAACTAACCTGGACTCTGAACCCCTAAACCCTTTAGAATAAGGAACCCTATAACCCCACTTATATCTACCCATGAATCTCCAAGTATAGATAAGGCACCTTGACCTTCAACTTTAACTTATATAAGACTCGGTCTCGGAAACTGGGCGTTGGTTTGGGTTGCTCCCAAGCCTTAGGGCCGTGGGGCTTCGAAAGTGCCGGAAGTCTCGGGTTTAAGGCTAGGGGTTCAGAAGTCTCGGGTTTAGGCTAGGGTTTTAGAAGTCTCGGGTTTAGGCTAGGGCTTCAGAAAGTTCAGGAAGCCTGAGATTTAGGCTAGGGCTTAGGGATGTTTAGGGTTTAGAGTCAATTTAGTTTCAAGTCCTTCTGTGCGGGGCACCGGATGCTAGTTGCTTCCGAGCAGAAACGCGGCAGAAGCACGCAATACAAACGGCCACATAGAGTTCCGGTCTTCTGCACGTAGGCCTGTACTGCTCGTCTCAAACCCGAAATCACAAACCCTGATCCCTAAAGCTGCGACATGGAATACGAAGCCGCAATCCTACCTGAGACCCAGATCCTTGACACCTGTGTTCTAACTCAGGACTGGGTTTGGACTAACATACCATACTTTCATGCTTTTTGTTTGACCTGTTCCTTGAAGGAATGTTTATGACATGAAATGTCTGGACTTTTTTCCCTGGCCACTTCAAGGCTGAAAATAGGGATCAGGTTCCTTAAACGGATCTATAGGGTTTAGGGCCTAGGGCCTACTTGAAGGATGATGGGACAGAGGAATAAGATAATCCAGGGGCCTTCATAATTAGAATAGGGTTTTAGGGTATATTAGACGATAATCATAATATGACCCCCCCACAATATTATAGGTAATCATTTAGGAAGTTATTAGAGTTATGACACCACGCAACTCAGTTCATACTTACAACCCCAACGACGCTACTTATAACTTTACTAAGTCCCACGATCCTCCTAGTAAGAAGAGTCTTTCTGCAGGGGGTCCTTACTCTCCTAGCATCAGCCCCAAGGGTTTCGAAGGTGGACTCTAGCCGACCCACAACCGCCAACTTGACCTACTTGCAGGTTCATGAGTGGTTATAACTAGGGTACCTATACTTATAACCCACGTTAGGGGACTCATAACCCTATACTTATAACTACCCATGAACCTCCAAGTAGTCCCAAACCTGAACCACTCAAGCCTGAATCTTAACGAGAGCCCCATGCCCCTTTAATAAGGGATGTACCTTGAACCAGCTTACCAATCCCTAATGTCTCGCGGGACTGTGGATTTTGCAAGCAGCACGGGGCTAAACCCAGAAGTAAGCCCTACAATCCACCCGCTTGCCAGCCCCAATGCCAGCCCCAATTCACCTGACAGCAGTTTCCGGGTCCTCAGCAGCCTAAACCCCAAACCCTCAACAGGCGCACTTCACGCTGGCGGGTCGGGCAGCCAAGAACTCCTCGGTTAGGGCTGAACGGGCTCAGGGGTTTTCATGTAGGTTAGGATTTTGGAGAGTATGCGATTATTAGGTACTTGGACCTTTGGGGTTACCTTGTCTGCGAAGCCGAAGGGCTTAAAGCCCATTTCCGTAATCCCCATAGTACAGATACCCTCTCAAGTCGCTACACAGCCACTGTGTGCCCCCTCTTCTGATCCCTAAGCTGTAAACCTTAAACCCAGCCAGGACCCTCCAATGGCCCTTTAATGGAGCTTTTGTGGTCCTTACCGGCTATTCTTCGGGGTACAATAGTGGCCAGTTGCGGGTCTAGGAGAGCCCTTATGCTACACCCCTATAGCAGCATACCCTTTCGAGATAGGGGCCTTTATAGTTAGAATAGGGTTTTGGGGCCCATTATACTATAATTACAAGTAGGAACCCCCAAAACCCTGTTCTCATTATGAAGGCCCCTACGTTATCCTTTCGAATCAAAGCCCTGAAGGATTGAATTCAAACATCGCAAGAATTCCACATGGATGCGCAGCATATCGGTTGAGGGCTAACTAAGAGGGTTCGTATAAGGGATCTATACGGGTACTATCAGGGGTATCTTGGATTCAGGGCGGGTTTAACGTTTAAAGTTTAGGTTCACCTGTTTAGGGTTGAGGGTCCTGTCCGATCCCAGGCAGAATGATAAGCCCTTCGTTTAAGATCAAAGGGGAAAAGGAGGGACCCTTAATAAGGACCCCTAGGTATATACCCATTATATAGCCCATTATAGGGTAGAGGTCCCCATCAAGGGTCCCTCCTTTTCCCCTTTGAGCAGATCCTGCATCAGAAAACACGAGAAACCTCGAACCCTCTCACAAAGCCAAACATGATCTCTGACCCGAGTCAAGGGTTCCTGTAGCGTCTAGGGTTCAGGGTTTACAGTATAGGGGTTCCTTTAAAGGGTTCTACAGGGGTACTATAGGGGTTTAGGGTTTTTGTTGGGCTTAGTGGTTTAGGGTTCAGGGTTTACAGTAAACTCCTCAAAGTTGGAGACCGGATTGAGGCCAAATAGTGCTGGGATTCCCTACACATTACTCTCAAGATTGAGGCTATTGGGTTTCCAACTTTTGGGTTTCTACTGTAACTCCTTGACCCCAAGCCTCCCATCTAAGCCGGACAAGAATAAACATGAGCCCTATTCCCTGACCCCTTAGCCTAGAACCTAAACGCAACATGTTCCTTAATCCCCTACTGCTCACCAGTAAGTTCTATACCTAAACCTAAACCCCTACACCCTCAACCTTTGACCCTACTGTAAACCTGATCCCGAAAGCAAGAGGCGTTGATCCGCTTGACTTCCCCCTGGTGTTTCCCGTGCGGCAAGTGGCATCTTGGACTTGAGGAGTTTCGCTGTTAGGCCTTTCGACTTTGTGGTTTAGGGTTACGTTTGAGTGGTTGTCATAATTATGGTCCCTTTTTGGGTCCTTATTCTAATACGGCACCTAACCGTTATATAGGGTACCCCAAAAAGGGACCATAATTTTGACAACCACCCATGTATCAAACCCTACTTGGAGGCCCAGGGAAGGGGACTTAGTAAGTCAGTTATAAGCATGGTTATCTACTATTTGCTTAAGAACCCCCCAAAAATAAAAAATATTCCTTATGGGTGTAATATAGGGATTATTATTTTTATTTTTTGGGTGTTTCTTAAGCAAATAGTAGTTATATTTGGGGCAACTCCACTTAGGGTACTTCTAACTCCACTTATAACCTACTTACTAAGTCCCCTGAGCCGCTAAGTAAGCCTTCAAGCCTACACTCTGGAGCTGCGCCGCAGGAAGTTCGGATACCTTCGGTGTTCCTGAAGGTTGTACCTAGAGGGTCATACCCTGCCGTTGTTGGCGGTACTTAGTTTTGATGGCTAGGTTTCGCTGTATAGGAGCGTAGGTACCGAAAAAAAGCTAGGGTATGACGCGAAAGGTAGGTTTCGGGTATGTTTGTTGCAGCTTATATAGCAGTTGAGTAAATGGCCTGCATGCGCTTCTGAGTAAACCAAACTAGAGAGCCACCATCATGAAATGCTAGTCATTGTTCGGACGGTAAACAATAGCAGGTGCACATACCATGTGAGGATCTTGTGCTGATGCGCTGTCTCCTGGTGCCTTCTCGTGCATGCTACATATGGGTTCGTACCTGGAGGGTCGGGGGACTTAATAACTGGTTATTTTAGGGACTTATAAGTACCATAACCCCAGTTAGGGTCCCTTTTAGGGTACTTATAAGTCTACTTACTAAGTCCCCCGACCCTCCAAGCAAGCTCATCTTGGGAAACGTTCGCCGGAAACCTTACACCCCAAATCCTAAACTGCAAAGATCAAGTGCTACAGCACGGGAACCCCAAGCCCTGAAAAGCGAGACCCTAACCTCTGAACAACTAAGCCCAAGACCCTTAAACCCTAAAGCCTACTTGGAGGGTCGGGGGACTGAGTAAGTAGGCAGTAAGTAGACTTGTAAGTACCCTAAAAGGGGCCCTAATTGGGGGTTATGGTACTTATAAGTCCCTAAAATAACCAGTTACTAAGTCCCCCGACCCTCCAAGTATAGAAACCCCTATAGATCCCTTAAAGGAACCCCGAAAGGAACCCCTTATAGAAACCCCTACAGATCCCTTAAAGGAACCCTGAAGCCTAAGACCTGGGAAGCTGCAGGCGCCTCCGCAGCTTCATGGCGGCGCAGACAAGCGCTTTCCCTTCAGTTTGCAGTTTTGGCTGGAGGTCCTTTGGTTCAGGGTTTGTAGGGTTTAGGGTGTAGGGTCTATGGTTTTTGGTGGTTGAGGGTGTAGGTTTTGAGGTTTTGGGATTTAGGGGCATGGGGTTTCAGGGTTTGAAGGGCTTGCTGTTTGGAGTTTAGGCGTTTTGGGGGGTTTAGGAGTTCAGGGCGTTTAGGAGCCTGCTTCAACTAAACTACCATAATTAGGAAACCATCTCACTTACTATAGATCCGGGATCCCTATTGTGATTTCCTTAAGCAGAACCCAGGGTAGGCGTTCTGGAGAGTTAATATTAAGGGTACATTGAGCCGCACCTCTCGTCTATCGGTGCCTGTATGCCTTTCCACCGAACCAAGCGCTGGATACTGACACCACTTAACTCTGCTGTCGTGCATGTGTCTAGACTTCTCGCATCCTCGTCGTTTCAAGGGCATGTGAGACGGATTGAAACGGCAATAGTAGTTCATGAGACCCCCTGGTCAAAGTAGATCTATCAATCAACCCTAAACCCTGAAAGCAGTACACCCCAGGAACCCTAACTTCGCCATTTTGGTTCAGAGTAGCGAAGTTACCGATTACCCAACTCAAGTCCGGATATTGAACGCTATCGCAAAAAAATGTACCTCCGCTCATTTGAAGCCTACTCTTGAACAATACACGCCTACCGATTTGCACGTTCTGTGGGTTTTCAAGTTTTATTTCTTGGAAATGGTATTATCGAGTATGCCACCGAAGAACTGTTTGCCCCGAACGAGCTGCAAGCCCTGAAGCCAGGGTTGCAGCATGTCGATTACTGTTGAAATAGGGCTGCTCAGTGGCAAGAGAACTTCCGTGGAAGCCGGCGTGGACGAGGAGGTGAGATTATTGAGCCTTCGCGCACAGGCTGCACTGGGAATCGGAACGGGGCAGCTGGCTCGGCTGGTGGACTCGTCTGGAAGCGTACTGGATCCACGTGCGCGAACAAAGGATGCCAGGGTGCAGGATGGTGATTTGCTGACGATGCACCTGACCCGAATTCAATCCTGTGCCACGAACTCTGCCTTTGCTGTGATTCTTGGTGATGGATCTGTTGTCACCTCGGGAAACCGTGCCGCCGGGGGTGACAGTAGTGCTGTGCGGCACCAGCTGAAGAATGTGCAGCAGATCCAAGCTTCAAGTTCCGCTTTTGCTGCCATTCTTGGCGATGGATCTGTCGTCACCTGGGGAAAAGCTACTGACGGGGGTGACAGTCGTGCTGTGCAGCATCAGCTGAAGAATGTGCAGCAGATTCAGGCTTCCAGCAGCGCTTTTGCCGCCATGCTTGCTGATGGATTTGTCGTCACCTGGGGACTTGGTCACAAGGGTGGGGACAGTCGTGCTGTGCAGGATCAGCTGAAGAATGTGCAAAAGATCCAAGCGTCTAGCGAAGCTTTTGCTGCCATTCTTGCTGATGGATCTGTCGTCACTTGGGGAAACCCTTCCGCCGGGGGTGACAGTAGTGCTGTGCAACATCAGCTGAAGGATGTGCGGCACATGCAGGCTTCAAGTACTGCTTTTGCTGCCATTCTTGGCGATGGATCTGTCGTCACCTGGGGAAAAGCTACTGACGGGGGTGACAGTCGCGCTGTGCAGCATCAGCTGAAGAATGTGCAGCAGATTCAGGCTTCCAGCAGCGCTTTTGCCGCCATTGTTGCTGGTGGATCTCTCGTCACCTGGGGAGATGTTGCCGACGGCGGTGACAGTCGTGTCGTGCGGGGTCAGCTGACGAATGTGCAGCAGATTCAGGCTTCCAGCAGCGCTTTTGCTGCGATTCTCGCTGATGGATCTGTTGTGACCTGGGGGTCTGCTGCATGGGGTGGTGACAGTCGTGCTGTGCAGGATCAGCTGAAGAATGTGCAAAAGATCCAAGCTTCTAGTACTGCTTTCGCTGCTGTTCTTACCGATGGATCTGTAGTTACCTGGGGATATGCTGCTGACGGGGGCAGTCGTCCTTTTCAGCGTCAGCTGAAGGATGTGCAGCAGATCCAAGCTTCTCCTTCTGCTTTTGCGGCCATTCTTGCTAATGGATCTGTCGTCACCTGGGGACATTCTGGCAAGGGTGGTCGTAAAAATCGTCAAGGCTGTGCTGCGCGATATGTACAGCAGATCCAAGCCTCTGACGGTGCTTTTGCTGCCATTCTTGCTGATGGATCCGCTGTCACCTGGGGCGATGCTGCCGATGGGGGTGACAGTCGCGCTGTGCAAGATCAGCTGAGGAACTTGTAATATAGGGACCTTAATAATCTAAACGAGTTCCTTTTGGGAGTTCCTTATTATAACTAGTGATGGTATAATATACCTCCAAACCCTATTCTAATGACTGAGCCCCTACTACAGAACCCCAGTATAGATCCCTTTTAAGGATCCCTTTCATGGGACCCCTATTCTAGTTATTAAGGCCCCCTATACTATACAGTAGAAGCTCAAAAGTTGGAAACCCAAGAGCCTGAATCCTCAAGAGACATGTATAGGGAATCCCAGCAGTAAGTGTCGTTATTCCGGGTTCCAACAATTGGTGGTTTACTTTAGTACCCTGAAAGATCCCATATAGCAGCCCGGATAGACCCCTTTAAAAGGTAACCCCTATTCTATTTATTGAGGCCGCTACCCCAGATCCCTTTAAAAGGCACCCTGTCAAGGAATAAGGCCCCTATATCATAGTACCCTTATCATTAGTAACCCCTATAGTAACTCTTATAGAATCTTTTAATGAACTTTTGAAGGAACACCTATTCTAATTATTAAGGCCCCAACATCATAGTACCTTTATAGTAACCCGTATAGTACCCCTTATAGAACCCGTATAGAGGAACCCTGTAGAGGAACCCCTGTTCTAATATTCAAGGCCCCTTTACACAGCCATTATATTAGCCCTTATAGTAATCCTGGTAGACCCTTTTAAAGTTTAAAGAAAGCCTGTAAAGGAACCTTAATTTCGACCCGGTATAGAGCCCTTGTGAGGATCCCTTCAAAGGGCTCCAAAACCGTATCCTAAGTATTAAGGCCCCTATAGTAGCAGGTCTCACCAAGTTTGGAGCGTTATGGTGATGCGACCAAGCGTTTCAGAAATACTTGCAGCACGGATTCGTGCCATTATCTGCGGTTTAGGGTTTAGGGCTCGTAGAGTGTTGTGAACCAGCCTCCAAACAAACCCTGTTTAAACCTCGAGCCCGTACTCGATTTGCACAAGTCTTGCCATGTCTGCCGGTGTCTATCTGGTGACCACGTTGAGACTGCAACAATGCCAGTAACACCGGGTAACCGTAGCAGTTTTGTCTCACAGAGGCAGAGTCCATCCTTACCACCTCACAAAAACTTGTAAACTTAAACCCCTAGCCTTACCACTTTTATTCCTTATTCGCACAATCATCATGAACGACCTTTATAAGCCTGATGAGCTCTGGCAAACCTGGCAAACTTTGAGCGCGGCATCAGCTAGCTGGGCGACCATAAGGTCACAACGTTCAACGAAAGTAGGTGGCAGTCCTCTCCAGATTCAGATGACTTGCGAAAGACTCCCTTCTTGGAAGGAACCGCATCAAAACCACAGGTATTGGCCCTGATTAGACCATACTGTAAACTCCATCACAAACCATGAACCCTCAACCCTTTGGCCATAAACCCTGAACCCTGTTACGTTATAGACACTCTAAGCCCTAAGCTCTAAACCCTCAACCCTACTGTAAACCCTAATTATCACTAGACCCAAGACCCTCCCCCCCCCCCCCCCCCAATATCGCAAAACCAAACGCTAAACTCAACACCCTCAGCCCAAAATGTTGGTCCTAAACCCTAAACTCTAAGCCTTAAACCCTAAACCCTAAACCCGAAACCGTTTCGGTCGGCAGCTTCCCGTTCTCCCGACACCTTCAACCCGAAGCCGGCGATTCGTCATGGGTAAGCGTCAAAACTGTTTCCGCAACGCGGGGTTTGGGGTTTAGGGGTTAGGGGTTTAGGGTTTCAGGGTCTAGGGTTTAGGGAGGGTTCCTGCACAACGAACAGATTCAGCACTGATTCGTAAATCCCTACGACATGCCAAGCCACGTGAACCCTCAAACAGTGCATCCTAGTCCTAAACCCTAAACCCCGCTAAACCCTTAAACCCTTATAGATCACTTATAGGAACTCTTGCCTTATATACTTCCTTCGAAGGAGCAGGGTTAAGTGGTGTTATAAGTGCCCTAATATGTGTTGTAATTCGGGTTCCTTTACGGGTTGTATAGGTTTTATAGGGTTTAGTGTAGTTATAAGTGGGGTTAGAAGTCCGCTAATGTGGGTTATAAGCAGAGTTACGCTACATATAGCCCCACTTAGAACTAGCCCTAAACCCTACACCCTATACGCTTAGAGAATCCCTATAGATCCCTGTAAAGGAACCCCTATAACTACCCACGAACCTCCAAGTAATCCACACCCAAGGCCGAAGCTCAGAAGGTTAGAGGTCGATGGTTTAGGGTTTTGGGGTTTAGGATTTAGGGATGAGGGTTTAGGGTTTAGGGGTTTCTCACAGTGCACATTTTTTGCTCTATAGTATATGGGGCCTTAATCGTGGAATAGATCACACTGTACCTGAAAATAGTGAGCCTTAGGGAATTATGTTGGTAAGTATTGAGGCCCCTAGATTTTCATTCGCTGGGGTTTGGGGATGAGGAATTAAGGGCTTAGGGGGCTTAGGGTTTCGGGGGGCTTAGCATCTTCAGGGTTGAGGGTTCAGGGGTTCAGGCTGGTGCGTGGACCTTGGAATCCAAAAGCCCGCTGTTTGGGTTTAGGGTTTAGGGGTTTAGGGATTACAGGGTTTAGGGATTAGGGTTTAGGGGGATTTTAGGGGTTATACCCTCTGGCAAAGGAATCAGAACCTACTACTGTTGTGTAACAGGTAACAACTGTAGAACCCTGATTGATAAGCCCTTCCCTTCATAGGCATTGTACCTGGGATCCTACTATTAGAGAAGTCGTCACAGAGTCATACTGTGCCCTAACAGTCCGGATATACTGGCACTATGGTTTAGGGTGTTAGGGTGTAGCGATATTCCCTAGAATGGCAGTTTCCAAAAACAGGGGACCCTAACATAGTACCCTCCTCAACAGTAGGATCCTTATTATAAGGAACCCAAAATAAGGTGCCCCTGATTTTCGGAAACTCCCATATCCCCTCGAACCCTGGTATAAAGGCATCCATATCAACTACAGAACCCACTCAAGTCGAATCCTTACAGGGCGAAGGCCCCTTCTACCCGAAACCACGAAACCACAGGTGGATCAGCGGTCGTCCCTCCGCCCAGGCTCTGAGGCTCGCTTCCGCGAAGCTCGCTTCGAAGGTTTTAGGGTTTAGGGCTTAGGGGTTTAGGGTATTCAGGGTTTGGGGGTTTAGGGTATTTAGGGTTTAGGGTTTATAGGGTATTTAGGGCTTAGGGCATTTAGGGTTTGAGGGGCCCGTGTACGTGTTGTTTGAAGGGGTTTTACTATCAGTGCATCAGTTTAGGGTTTAGGGTTTGGGGTTTAGGGGTTTAGGCTTGAGGGTTTAGGGGTTTAGGGTTTGGGGTTTAGGGGTTTAGGGTTTAGGGGTTTAGGGTTTGGGGTTTAGGGGTGTTCCAATGTAGCGGTTCAGGGCTCAGAAGCCAACCGGAGGGTTCTTGACTTCCGGGGCCCCTATGGTTTATCCCTTCCAAATGCACTAAGGAGCCTTGTTCCACAAAGAGAGCGGGGCAGGGAGAGGGGGACTAAACTCTGAAGCTCAAAACCTCAGCCGTTCCACGGGGGAGCAGGGGGGTGAGGATGATCAATACTTTCGAAATACCAATCCTGATGCCAAATGCTGCAACCCCAAAGCCTACGACAGGGGCTTGAATAATTGCCATTCAATACTATTCCGAGGGTTCCTTATCCGACCTTTAGTAAAATATGCCCCAAGTGGAACCATTATATAAGGCCCTTGCGCTACAGATCTAGCAGGTCTCGCAGGTTACCCTTCCCAGGAATTACATGATCGGATATGGAAAAACACCGTCACAGATAGGCTACGCCCCGAGCTGACCGGACGCCATAAAGCCAGGGTTGCAACATGTCGATTACTGTTGAAGTTGGGCTGCTCAGCGGCAAGAGAACTTCCGCGGAAGCCGGCGTGGAAGAGGAGGTGAGGTTATTGAGCCGTCGCGCACACACGGCACTTGGAATTGGAGATGGGCGCCTTGTTCAATTGGTGGACTCGTGTGGAGGCGCTTTGGATCCATGTGCTCGAATAAGGGATACCGGGGTGAGGAATGGTGATTGGCTGACCATGCACATCAGCCGAGTTCAAGCGTCGGCCGCTGACTCTGCTTTTGCTGCCATTCTTTGCGATGGATCTGTCGTCACTTGGGGAAATGCTGCCGACGGGGGTGACAGTGGTGATGTGCAGGATCAGTTGAAGCATGTGCAGCAGATCGAAGCCTCTCGTTCCGCCTTTGCTGCCGTTCTTTGTGATGGATCCGTCGTGACCTGGGGGCGTGGCGGTCATGGTGGCAACAGTCGTGCTGTTCAGGAACAGCTGAAGACTGTGCAGGAGATTAAAGCCTGTGACAATGCGTTTGCGGCGATTCTTGCCGATGGGTCTGTTGTCACCTGGGGACTTGGTCACAAGGGTGGCGACAGTCGTGCTGTGCAGGATCAGCTGAATAATGTGAAGCAGATCCAAGCTTCCAGTGGCGCTTTTGCGGCGATTCTCGCTGATGGATCTGTCGTCACCTGGGGATACGCTGCCGACGGGGGTGCAAGTAGTGCTGTGCAGCATCAGCTGAAGGATGCGCAGCAGATCGAAGCCTCTAGCAGCGCTTTTGCTGCTATTCTTGCTGATGGATCTGTCGTGACCTGGGGAAATGCTGCCGACGGTGGTGACAGTAGTGCTGTGCAGGATCAGTTGAAGCATGTGCAGCAGATCGAAGCCTCTAGTTCCGCGTTTGCTGCCATTCTTCTGGATGAATCCGTCGTGACCTGGGGGCATGGGGGTCACGGTGGCGACAGTAGTGCTGTGCAGGATCAGCTGAAGAATGTGCAGCAGGTCCAAGCATCTAGTTCTGCCTTTGCTGCCATTCTCGCTGATGGATCTGTCGTGACCTGGGGCGATGCTGCCACTGGAGGTGACAGTCGTTCTGTTCAGGAACACCTGAAGAATGTGCAGCAGATTAAAGCCTCTGACAAGGCGTTTGCCGCGATTCTTGCTGATGGATCTGTTGTCACCTGGGGACTTGGTCACAGGGGTGGTAACAGTTCTGATGTACAGGATCAGCTGAAGAACGTGCAGCAGATCCAAGCTTCCAGTGGCGCTTTTGCGGCGATTCTCGCTGATGGATCTGTCGTTACCTGGGGAGATGCTGCCGACGGGGGTGACAGTAAGGCTGTGCAAGATCAGCTGCGGAATTAGTAGCAGATCTCAGCTGCTTTGGATTGTTTACGTCATGTGGCCAACCGTCCCAGCAGCAGGAGATTCGAACCAGCGTTTGTGAGGGCGCTGCATCGAAGAGTTTCACAGTCACAGTACTATAGAAGCCAAAATAATTATCAATGTTATTCCTGTGACAAGTATACTATAAAGGGGCCCCAAACCCTATTCTATTCTAATTATCAAGGCACCTGTAATAAATCAAATCCTGCTGCCAGTCGACGCACCGTCAAGTTCATGATGCAGGCAACATGTTCCGTGGCACAACTGAAAGTTCATGTTCAGTACTTGTGACTTCCACCAGGCAAGCCCTCATCAAGCCTTGACGCTGGAAATGCTTGAAATGAGAATTTCGAACGATGTCAGTTTCGCATCGGCTGAAATGTTCCAAGCTGTTCGGGTGTCGGTCTGGTGACCACATGGACAAAACAATAGTATTATTATTAGTAACATCAAGTACCCATAGGAGTTTTGCATCACAGGGTCACAGTCATCCACCCCAGCAGGTTACGTATATCCGCGAATCTACACTGATCATCTCATTCCCATAATCATCATAAGCGTTGGAAGATCACGGTGATAAGATGAGATATCCGTAGTCCAGGATGGGTCACATGAAAGATAATCGGTCCTTAAACCCACATCCCACGTTACATCTTGCGTTTGTATCGTCAAGCCGAAAACCTCAATCTTGCAAGTCCCCAAACCCTAAAGCTTGAAATCCGGATCTGTACACAAGTTGGACAGGCGGAATATGTGACGGAGTGGCGGCCGCACACGCTTTTCAGTTGCAAGAAGATCGAGTTCATTCTGTAGTCGGTACCCAGAGAGATGGGTTTTGCCCGGATTGCAGAAAGCTGTGTAGGGGTTACAGCCCAAGACTGGTTGAGAGATGGGCTTTGAACGGATTGCAGAAAGGTGTGTAGGGGTTGCCGCCCAAGACTTGGTTGAGGCATACTCCTTAAGCCGTGCAAGGCTTCATGTCATGATGAGACCCTAAGCTCCAAACCCTTAACCCCTCGACCCCCAAACCCAAACCCTGAACCGCAAGCCTTAAAACCTAAACCCGAAGTATTCATGAATTAATTGTCGAAGGGCACTTAGCTCTGAGTGTCCTCGGACTGGCTGCACTAAACCAGGGCATCCGCCTCCGGGTGCTCTTTTTCACAAGATTGTTTGTCCCCTGCAGTCTGTAAAAGATGTTGATACAGATGTTCCATGATGTTCCTCTTGGCGCACGAGTTCTTGCACCGGTGTTTGGCTAAGGGTTTTTCGAAGCACGGTGGATGTACTGTCCGCTTTCATACATGTTTTCATCAGGTTGCATCTCTTAGAAGCACTGCTCCTGAGGACACAAATGGACTTGGTTCCGCCAGAAATGGACGACGAAGGAAATGCGCCGTGCATTTAAGGCTTCATGGTTTCGGATTGAGGGTTTGACTGTCTAGGGTTCAGGGCTTAAGGGTGTAGGGTATAGGATTTAGGATTCAGTTGTTGAGGGTCTACTTCTAAGGCCTCAAGGTTTAGGGTTCAGGGTTTGTTTATGACTCGTGCATGATAATAGCCAGCTTAAGGCCTTGGTCCTTGTTATTCGCCAATGCTTGGTAATCACCGTTGAGACTGTGGCGTTTGCAGTTTTAGTTTGATACTTCCTCCTGCTGGTTCAAGTACCCGAACAGTCCTTTTTTATCACTGAAGATTTTGCGAAGCACTCAAACCACGGGGCTTTGAACCTGAGGGTGACAAGTTAGACTACAACGACTGTTGATGGACAAGGCACGCGAAGACAGAGTGCGTACCAAAGGTAACAACGCCGAGCCAAGACAACCGCAATAGAGACTTTGCAAGGATGAAAACAGATTTCCCCAAAATTGAACGATGCTTCACAAGTTCTTTCTCGGCACATGCAAAAATCAAGGGCGTGTAAATCTAGTTTCGGGCGTAACTTGCTCAGATGGGCTGGTAGCCTTGTAGCACCAATCATCAAACCCTGCATCAGATTTGAAATATGGTAGATGTGAAATTGCTTTAACATTTTTCGGTGGGTACTTGCCGAGGGTGTTTTCTCCCCTCCGGATCCCTCTGGCAGGACATGGCAGGAGTTTCAATTGTTCCAAGATTTTAATTGGATTCAATGAGATTTTTCATGGTGCCTTGGCGCACTCTGAAGCATGTCTTCTGGAATTCAACAAGGTTTGATAGATGGATAAAACCAGTTTTCGGGTCATGCCGCCGCAATCGTAATCGTGTCTTTTAAGGTTCAATCAGGTTGAGCAAGTTTTTCGAGGGCGGTGCCGCAGATTTAAGCTGCAAGTAAGATTGCAAAGGGTTCGATAAGGCCAAGAAAAGACTTACCAAGGTTTTGCCGGGCCCGGTTTTACGAACATGTGCACGTTACGCATTTCATTTCCAAGCAAAACCCTTGAGGTTGAAGGCCTGAGGTTCAGGAGCGGCTTAGGGGAGGGTTTGGGGTTCAAGGTTCAGGGTTTAGGGCAGTGTGGTTCATGGAGTTTTGGGCTGGGAGGTGGGCTGAGGCCGTTCGTGATGGTGACTGGTGGGAGGAGGATTGGGATAGTGGAACAAGAGCATGAAGTCGGAGGCAAGCAAGAGGATAACCTTCAATCAAGACGTCTGGCACATGACGACAAATGACAAACGGAAGTTGACAAACTAAACCATTTAGAGACATCGAAAGACCAATGTAGACACGCGAGAACAAAGCAGTACAAAGGGTGAGTGATTTTGCAACATTTGGTGCTTCTGATCTAAAATAGCCCACAAGTTCACAGCCTTGTGCTTTGTGAGACGGCCGCAAAACCTTAATGACTGTAGATATCCAAAGCCATTCAGAGTATGCTATCGTCATGTACCTGTTGCCCCTAAACCGTACACTCTAAACCCACCCTTTAGGGTCTAGGCTTTTTTCTAACCCTCTTGAGGCTGTCGAGCTCCTGACGACTGGCCTACCACTGACAGCACTTTGAAAGACACAAATCGCTCGTGCGTACTGTTACCTATATAAGACGATCTCTATGTGGTTGCCATCATCTACATTTACATACTACTGCCGTCATTCATCATCGTTGTTCTTATTCTCATCGCCATCGTTATAGTCGTCATTGTTGGTAGCATTGTTAGTTGTACTTCTCGGCTTTAGCTTACCAAGAGGGTTCAAATAGACTACTGTCATTCTATTACAACTAGGACCCCAAAACCATCATGGAGACGGTCTTTTGGGGCCTAATTCCATAATGGTACTATATACGGAATCTTAAGGGCTCCCATACTAAACCCTTTTTGTAACCCTTATAGGACCCTGTTTAAGGAGCCCTTTAAAGGAACCCTGTTCTAATGACGCTCTGGCTTACTTGGCAGGAGCATGGCAACCTGTCGTGTTGGAGCCTGCTGGCCTCCATGCGCCGCCTTGTGGTGAGGCTTGCGCTCATCCGGGCTTTCAGGCTTTGATAGGTCTTGGGTCGGGTTTAGGATTTAGGGCTTGCGATTTAGGGTGTAGGGTTTAATTAGAGTTTAGAGTATAGAGTTTAGGGTTGGAAGGGTTTTAGAGGGTTCAGGGTTCCATGGGCTTTATCGTGGCGTTAACGGAAGGAGATGTTCTAGGAAAGCCTATGCTAGGCCCTACACACCTGAAAGTACCTGAGAGACCGCATCGTGGATTAATTTAATGTAGCATGTTGTACAATGCAATTATGAATTTTGCAACAACATGGCATAATGGAATAATTGTTATATGGTAAAAACGATATTAGACTGCACCTAGACCTGCAACGCAAAAGGCCCTAAATCCCGAACCCCGAGCCCTCCACAGCCCCGTGAGGGCTTGACGATTTGCACTTGGGATTTGCCTGAGCTACCGGAGATCCCAGAATTGGCAGCCCGCGTGCACAGAAGGTCTTGTTTATTTGACTGCAGGAACCTGATTTAGAAACCTTGGGCCTTTATTAGGGTTCCTTATATGAACCCTACTATTTTGGGGTTATAGGCCCAGGGTTTCCTGATCAAGTTCGTACATCAGTGCGATGGTTTAGGAGTTTCAGGGTTTGGGGTTGAAAATCAAAGGGTACTTTTTGAGCTGTTAGCTGTTTTTGTTGCTCTGGGGTTTGTTTATGGGAATCTCCCACAGCTCCTTTGGTTGTTTCCCTTCTATCAAAGGGGACCCTTAATGCGGACCCCTACCCTATCATGGGCTATATAATGGGTATATAATAGCTATATTAAGGGTATATACCTAGGGGTCTTTATTAAGGCTCCCTCCTCGTACCCTTGGATTCTAATCGGACGGGGCTTGAGGGCTTGGACTGGATGGGTTTTCTGACAGCGTTGCTTTGAGGGCTTCGATTTAGGGCTGAGGAGTTCTTAAATAAATGGATCCCTTTAAAGGGACCCTTAAAGGAACCCTTATGGTTGGGTTCTCAGATCTTGGCTTTGAGGGCTTCGATTTAGGGCTTAGGAGTTCTTGAATGCTTCTTCTACACTGGGTCTACCCGACTTTTGATGGTTTCGGCCTGATACAGGGCTCAATAGGCTTGTCGTTCTTCTGGTTGGCTCTTAGGACGTTAACTTTTTGGGTTTCTACATGAACTATATACTAAGTAGGCTAAAGTTTAACTTTTAGGAGGGGTTCAGAAGTCAGTCGCAGGGTTTAGGGCTTTTAGGGTTTAGTGGAGCAGAGTTTGTGGGGTTTAGACGTTTGGATTTCCGGTTAACCCCCCCAAAGCCCCAAACCCCGAAACCCTAAGGTACAGCTGCGACTACGCCTTCTGCGTGACGACACACGCGCGCCTGGAGTCAGGGCTTGGGTTTCGCAGATCCTCGGCAGCGTGAGCTTCGGGTTTCGGGGCCCCTTTTTTGTTTTTTTCAGCTTTATGGCGTCTCGGGTTGAGGGTTTAGGGATTAGGAGTTTGGGGTTTAGGGGTTTAGGGGTTTAGGGGTTGCGGGTTTAGGGTTTAGGAGTTTTGGGCTTTAGGGGTTTAGGGTTTCGTTTTCCTTTAGGGTCCGACTTTTTGGGTGCTTGTCTTGGGTTCATGTGGATTTCAGAGGTGTCTTCAAGGGCTTGCGGTCTTATACAAACTCACACGAGCTGTCGATGTAAAGGAGATAAAAGGAGTAGCCTACCATAAGAGTCGGATGCATGCGTAGTTACTAAGATCCCCTGCTAGTCCCTATGTACAAATGTCAGGAAATATACCTCAAAGCCCTGCTCTGACATTATGAATTAAGGCGCCCCCTGTATACAAAGGTTATGAGATATACCTCAAAACCCAGATATGATTATTTTGGCGCCTACAATATAGTATCCTTGCAATATCCCTTATACTAGCTCCTATAGACCCCTTGAAAGGAACTCTATTCTATTTATTGAGGCCTTTTTTACGACGAATTAGCCGGCCAGAACTTGGGGGACGTAGAGCTCCAGATTTTCTCCCTCAGCCCTCCAAGCTCTTTGAGCCCTATAAAACCGCAATCCAGATGCCGGGCTCTAAGACTCCAAGTATGCAAGGAGTACCTACCTCGGGGTCTACAGCCCATAAATACAGTTGATGATGCAAATCTTCCGTTACCCTGAATAAGGAATATACCATAACTCTCATAGTTTAGGGTCCTTATAAAGGTATTGCAGGTTTGTATCATCAACCGTAGTATCCACTTTGGGCGATTTAGAATCTTAGGGTAACCTTCAACCCATTTCCAAAAACCGCCTCTCGCCAAACCCCTATGCAGCCCTGATACACAACTCTTCCAAGTTCTCGTAAACATTACAAACCCTTATCCCGCTTGTATGAATGAAGCCGTCTATACAGCTTTTTTTCTGCAACAAGTACGTATATTTTTCAATCGAGTCCTAAACCACAAAACCCGAAAATCCATGCCTATTTTGATCACAGGCTCCTAAACCGCATGCTCTCATAATATCATAAGGGTGGTCTCAAAGCCCAAAACCGTACAACCCACCTGATCCCTAACCCTAAACCCCAGCCTCAGCATCCTAAACCCTAAATCCGCAAACCCTAAACCCTGAACCCCTAAACCCCAAACCCTAAATCCTAATCCCGTCCGGAGGATCTCTGAGCCCTATGCCACTGCTTTCCTTCCTCCACCGAAGCCCCGAGTTTCTGTGAGCTCTGCAGCCGGGCCTTCGTTGGGCGAGATCTGGGAAGTTCTCGAAATTACAGTAAACCCCACAAAGTTGGAAACCGGAATAAGGCCAAATAGTGCTGGGATTCCTTATACATGACTCTTAAGGATTGAGGCTATTGGGTTTCCAACTTTTTGGCTTCTACTGTAGGGTTAGGGTTTGGGGTTTAGGGTGAAGGGTTCAGGGTTTAGGGTTTCGGGTTCAGGAATTAGGGTTTACGGTTTACGGTCTAAGGTCTAGGGTTTAGGGTTCAGGGTTTCGGGTTTGGGGTTTAGGGTGACGGGTTCAAGGTTTAGGGTTCAGGGTTTAGGGTTGGGTCCTTTTCATCTAGGCACCTAGGATTAGATAGTACGGCATGCTTACAATGAAGATTAAGGGGAAGCTGATTTAGAGAACTACCCACGTAAGTTGAGATTTCGGAGGGCTCTGTAAGGGTTCTTTCTAGGGGAGGTAGGTTCGAGGGTCGGGGGAGGATTTAGGGGTTAGGGTTTAGGGGTGTTGTGGTTTCGGGTTGTGGCGAGACCGCTGTGCTTGTGTGCCTACACAAGAATAAGTGTTGATTGAGCTTCATGTAGGGGCTGCGGCTACTGCTACGGCTACTGCCACTGCTGCTGCTTCTGTCACTGCCACTGCCTCCGCTACTGCTACTTCTACTGGCAAGCCTAACAGCAGTGAGAACCATCGAAAGGCTGATCACCGCAACCCCGAAGTCCAAACCCTAAACCCTAAGGCTCCATGTACCCATATAGTCGTAGGTACTTAGGCCTTAAAGGGGTCCCTATATGGGTACTTTAAGGCCTAAGTACCTACTATATGGGTACATGGAGCCTTTGGGAAACCCAAGGCACGACATGGAGTCCAGATCCATGTGACGTTCGCGCTCCGTACGTCTTCGGAGATCGACTCCGAAGAAGCTTTTCGGGGAGAGGTCGGGCGGGACCCCAAAGGCTCCGTGTAGCCATGTAGTATATACTTATATCATTTATATTCACATCCTAAAGTACCCATATGGAAATCCCTTTAAGGCCTAAGTATATACTTTATGGGCACATGGAGCCTTAGGCGACGTGTTTTCGATTGTTTTAACGGCCCCTGTAAGGGTTCCTCTAACCCCTGGTTTATGGGTTTATAGGGTGTGGGGAGTCAAGTTTAGTAGGCTAATATCTTGTGGGTTTTGCGGTTTCGGGTTTCTCGGGTTCAGGAGTTGGGCTTTGGGGCTGACAGGGGTTCACAGACCTTGAAGGCGGGGCTTGGTTTTTTTGGGGTTTGAACGGTCGCAGGATGCACAAGGTTTGGGAGGGTGTCTTATCATGTTTTCAAGCTGGTCAGGAGCGGTATGCAACCCTAAATCCCGAACCCTTAAGTCCCGAACCCTACAGCGTGAACCCTAAACCCCGAACCCTAAGCCCCATAAGCCCTAAACCCTAGACCGTTGAATTGGGCTTGGCCTTGACGCGAAGGCAAAGGCAAGCCGGGCTATGACCGGCTTGAATGTCCTTCAGCTCTTAAGACCCTTCAAGTGCTGCCAGGCCCATAATGCCTTCTCTTGTACCCAAACTGTGGTAGCTGAACCCAAACTATGGTAGATGAAGCTCCTTAACATCTCTGAACTCGAAGCCTCCAGACACTGAAGCCTTTATAAAGCCCTTCTACAGTCCTGCAAAGCCACTCTACCTATAACCTACTTACAGTCCCTTGGGCCTCTAAGTATGAGCCCCAAACCCTTAACCTACAATCCCTAATTTTGACCCGATATCCTAAAACTTGCAAACCCTGTAAACCCTTAAACCCTAAACCCTCGCGCATGCCCTAAACCCTGAACCCTAAGCCCTACCCCCTGCCCTAAACGCTGAACCCTAAACCCTAAACCCTAAACCCAACCAAAGCCTAAACCCTATGAGCCCTACCCCATGCCGTAAGCCCTGAACCCTAAACCCTAAACCCGACCCTATGCGCTAAACTTTGAACCCCAACCCTAACCCTATAAACGCTAAACCTTCTAAACCCAGAACCCCAACCCTAAACTAAACCCAACTAAGCCCCAAACCGCAAAAGCCCTAAACCCTGAACTAAACCCTAAACCTTAAACCTCAAAAGCCCTAGTCCTAAACCCTAAACCCTAAAAGGGTTTAGGGTTTAGGGTAAACCCCGTTATCCCTTTTGGGTAGTGCCTTCCTTACCTTTGGTTAGTAGGGAATAAAAGAATGGTAGTAATAGTCATTATACTTGTACCCCATTCCTCCATTCCCTACTAACCAACGGTAAGTTTCAGGTGGTGCCAGGCCTCCCCCTGGCACCCTAAACCTCAAAAGCCCTAAACCCTAATCCTAAACCCTAAACCTCAAAAGCCTTAAACCCTAATCCTAAACCTCAAAAGCCCTAAACCCTAAACCCTAAAAAGGGTTTAGGGTTTAGGGTAAACCCCGTTAAGCCTTTCAGGTGGTGCCAGGCCTCCCCCTGGCGCCGGGATTCGGCCATCGCTGGGCCCGGCGCTTCCAAGTGGCCCATCGCCTCGCCGGGGATCGGAGCCTCTGTGGACTTCAGTTGGGGTTTGGGACTCTGGCGTTGGGTTTGGGATTTAGGGTTTGGGGTTTATAGGGTTTAGGGACTTCAGTTTGGGGTTTTAGGGGCCCAGAGCCTCCAAAACCCCTTAATTAAGGAATATACCTTAATTTATAATAGGAGCCCTAGTATGATTTAAGGTATATTCCTTAATTATCGGGTTTTGGAGCCTCTGTGGACTTCAGTTTGGGTTTTAGGGGTTCCGTTAAAGGGAATTATTAGTATTATTAGGGTTCCTTTAAAGGGAATTAGGGTTCCTTTAAAGGGAATTATTAGGGGTTCCTCTAAAGGGAATTATTAGGGTTCCTTTAAAGGGAATTATTAGGGTTCCTTTACAGGGAATTATTAGGGTTCCTTTAAAGGGAATTATTAGGGTTCCTTTAAAGGGAATTATAAGGTTCCTTTAAAGGGCTCTACAAGGATACTGTAGGGGTTTAGGGTTTAGGGTTTCGGAGTTTGGGTTTAGGGTTCCTTTAGGGGATCTATAGGGGTTTCTATAAGGGGTTCCTTTAAGGGATGTTTCTGTAAGGGGTTCGTTTAGGGTTTTTCAGTTTAAGGGATCTATAGGGGTTTCTATACTTGGAGGGCCGGGGGACTTAGTAACTGGTTATCTTAGGGACCTATAAGTACCGTAACCCCAACTTATAAGTCTACTTACTACCTATACTTATTATTTCCCCCGACCCTGCAAGTAGGGTTTCGGGGTTTATTGTTTAGTGTTTAGGGTTTAGGGATCTAGACCCACCAACTACCCTCTAATATACCCCAAATACCCACGACTAAGGGCATTAGGGTTCGGTGGACTTTAGCACATAAGCATAAGCATTTTATAGGGACATCCCTACCTTAATGGGCTTCATTACAAGGGGGCTTATTTGGGCTATCACTGTCTTAATGGTTGCTTGTGTGTTTTTTGGGCCCTATAGTTTGGCTTTAGGGCATATTAGGGCTAAGGGTTTAGGGTTTTATGGCTTTGGGTTTGGGGTTCAGGGTTGTTCATGGGGTTTAGGGTGTTTTTCGGGTTGTGTTAAACAAAGGTGCCTTAATAATTACAATGGGGTTTGGGGGATATTTTATACTTTAATTTTAATACGGAACCCCCTAAACCCTGTGCTAATAATTAAGCCCTACATTGCTTAGGTGTGGGTTTAGGGCTTAGGGTCAAAACTAGGGGATTAGGGTTTTTGTTGGAGTTCATTTAGGCTGTACTGATTTAAGGTGTATCGACTATTGTCGGTCATTATTACAGTTACTATTAATGTGATTGTGGGTCTTATTATCATTGCAGACCCTTTGTATCTTATGGTTTGTACACTATTGTAACAGTTTAATTCATTTAATGATACTGCAGTATCAGCTTCCTAGAAACGGCTTCTACATTTCAGGGAGTATACTATTGTAAAGGTTGTTTTCATGTACGTTAAGCCGAAGTCTCTACCCAGCTTTATACGTCTGCATTGCTGTGTAATTAGGTTCAATCCCATGGTAAGTCTGAACCCTGATTACTAGGCCCTAAAGGCTGAAGACAAGATGCCCCCAGCCAACCCAAGGCACGACAAGGACGATTTGCAAGAGTTCGAGGCAACAGATCTGCAGGAGGCTGACTGCTTGCCCAAGACCTTACTGAGCCAATGGGAGAACTTCAAACTGGTGGCCTTGTGTATTTGTACTTCCTAAACCCTAAAGGCTCCTGAGAGTTTTGAGCTTCTGAGGAGGGAGATTTCAGGGTAAAAAGTGTTTATCAGGGTTTAGGGGTCCAGGGTTTAGGATAAGCCTTCGGGTTTTCGGTGCCAGGTTACATAGTGATCCCTTTAAGGATGCCTTAAAGGAACCCTTAAAGGAACCCTAAACCCCACCAGGGCCGAGCGCCCTTGGAAGGCAGAGGCCAGCTTTGATGTGGACCGGCCCGGCATCTGCTGGCACCCTGGGGAAGATTCGGGGTTTAGGGTTTAAGGTTTAGGGGTTTAGGAGTTTAGGGTTTAGGGGTTTGGTGTTTAGGGTTTAGGTGTTTAGGGTTTAGGGGTTTAGGGTTTAGGGGTTTAGGGCTTCTATTGGATGGGGAGTCGGAAGAGGCTCTGGTAGAAGGGTCTGCAGCAAGGGCTCTGTCAGCTTTTTGGAAGGCGCTTCTGACAATTTGGGGGTGCTGGTACCAAGGATCCTAGTATCCTAGCACTTATCTTATAACCCTAGACCCCCTAAATGCCTAAACCCTAACATTACCGGCTCTATGTAGGGAGCCGTCTTTCTGAAAGCTCCAGCTCGTTGCTTGAAGAATCCGTTCCTTCGTTGACCCAGGGAAGTCTCGGAATGGTAAAGTTGAGGTTTTAGGACTCTCGGAATGGTGCTTGGAGGGTCGGGGGACTTAGTAACTGGTTATTTTAAGGACTTATAAGTACCATAACCCCAATTAGGGTCCCTTTTAGGGTACTTATAAGTTTACTTACTACCTACTTACTAAGTCCCCCGACCCTCCAAGTAGGGTTGATTGTTTGGGGGTGCCCTGTTGCCATGCGACACGTGCGGCAAAGTACAGGCAACGAAGATTCAGCTTGAGCACTCAAACATGAAGGAGCACTGCAGCATCAGTCAGTACTTCCTCCAGTATCCGAAAAAGTTGCTTTCCCGACTATAGACAGTAACGTCGAAGAGTTATTTACTGCTATAACATCTAATCCGTCTTGAGTAGTTGAAGCAGCGTGCTCATGGCCTTCACCTCTGCTCTTCTTACCTTTGGTTAGTAGGGAATGGAGGAATGGGGTACAATTGCAACTGTTATTACTAACATTCTTCCATTTCCTACTAATTAACCAAAGGTAAGTCTTGCAACCGCGTGGTTCTGAAGCCCGAACCTTCAAAAAGCAAGCCTAAAAGCGCCTGAAGCTGATAGCCACGCTGGACCCTGAAGCCTAAGCCCTAAATCCAGAAGGCCCTAAACCCTACATGCAGGTGGTTGTCAAAATTATGGTCCCTTTTTGGGTACCCTAATATTGCCGTATTATCATAAGGACCAAAAAAGGAACCCTAATTTTGACAACCACCCATATCCAAAACCGTGCACGATGAAGCCTAGAACCCAGGGGCCCGGAAACTAATAGCCTCACTTTCTAAACCCAAGGTACTCCATCACGCTGCCTGCAGTGGAACCTCGGTGCCTGGAGTCTCCATAAGGGTTTAGGGTTTAAGGGTTTAGGGTTCAGAGGTTTCGGGGTTTAGGGTTTAGGGGGGTTAGGGTACACAGGTGCAGGGGTTTAGGTTTTTTTGGGGGGTTTCGGGTCAGGGTTTCAGGGTTTAGGGTTCAACGGTTTAGGGTTTAGCAGATCCCCACGAGTTCCAAACCCCTTTGCGTTTTAGCGCGCAAGGCCCTGAAGAGCGCAGGCCTTGGCTCATGAAACCTTTCCAACCGTAACGTAGGAAACCTTGGACAACCGAGCAAGGGTTCTGAATTCACCCTGCTCCTACTCCTACTCCTCCTCCTCCTGCTCCCCAGAGCCTCCAAAACCCCTTAATTAAGGAATATACCTTAAATCATATTTGGGCTCCTATTCTAATTTAAGGTATATTCCTTAATTAAGGGGTTTTGGAGTCTCTGGGTCCTACTCCTACTCCACCAGCAAGGTTCTCAGAGGGCCAGCGTGTAGTCTTCGCTTTGCGAGTTGGAGACGACTGGCGCTGGTCGCCGTGGAGTGTGGTCAGCAAGCCTACACAGGTGGAGCGCCCAGCCGGTTTAGTTTAGGGTTTAGGATTTAGGGTTTAGGATTTAGGGTTTAGGGTTTAGGGTTCGATGCAGATACCCAAAGGCTCCATGTAGCCATATAGTATATACTGAGACCCTAAAGTACCCATATAAGAACCCCTTTAAGGCCTAAGTATATACTATATGGGTTCATGGAGCCTTAGGGGGATAGGGGCGCCTAGAGAGCTCTAAGGCCCTACAACACTCATTGATCAAGTTTAGAAGAAGCTCAATACCCAGAGAGCCCAATACCCTTTAATCAAGCAATATATCTTAATTTTTTTAGGGGCCTCATATTATGATTTAAGCTATATTATTCCTGAATTAAGGGGTATTGGGCTTTCTGAATAATAGTTGATAAAGGTACAAGTGTCGAAGCCCCCACAACTCTAAGCGCCAAGCCCGACACCTGAATGCATGTTTCAGCCATTCACCCTGGAAGGAACCGAACCTTAAACTTCATAGCTTGGGAAGCTTGGGGTTCGGGATCGCAGGCTTTCAGGTTGGGCCGGTAGGGTTTGAGTCTTTTGGTTGAGCCTTTGTTGCATGAGGTGACATCTAGAACACGGCATGTACGATTCAGGACTTGTTATGATGACGCACTGGATGATTTGGCATTGTCGATTCGTGGATTTGGGGTTTAGGGCTCGTTCTCTTAAGACTTAGGTTCCCAACCCTCGACCCTAAACCCTAGAACCCTGAAACCTGTCCAACCCTAATGAAACTCTGAAACCCTGAACCCTTTAAACCCTTAACCCCAAACCCTGAAACCCTAACCCTGAAACCTGTGAAACCCTAATACAACCCTAGACCCTGAAACCTTTAAACCCTATAACCTTAAACCCTGAGCCCTGAAGCCCTAAAGCCTAAATCCTGAAACCCGAATCCCCGCATGCAGCGCCTTGGAACATCTTGGAACCATCGCTTGGACCAGGCTCCCAAAGGTTCCATGTAGCCATATAGTATATACTTATACCCAAAAGTACCCATATAGGAACCTCTTTAAGGCCTAAGTATATACTATATGGGTACATGGAGCCTTGGAGCCTTAAGGGCTAAGGCCTTGCTGCCATATGGCGCTGGCAGAGATGCCATCGACGCATAATGTAGGAGCTGTAATAGTTGGAATAGGGGTCCCCTTTAAGGGGGTCTTTAACGGGTTTCTATAGTAAGGAATCTAGAACAGGGTTCTATAGTAGGGGCCTAATACTGAGAATGGGGTTTTGGGGTTCCTTTTTGAAATTATCGTATTGGTATACTACCTCCTTACCACAAGTCCTTGAAGAAGCGATTGGCTCAGATCCAGAGCTGGAAATGGACGGCGTTTGCGCAGGCTCACGGCCTGGATTCGAAGCCTTGTTGAGTCATTTGGACGATGTTTTCAAGCACGAGCTCGCCAGCACTGACGCTCCGTGCATGTGATCAGGATGTAGCAGAGCCGCATCCTGATGAATTCGAAAGTCCAGCAGAGTCCCCTGCCGCTGGCGAAGAGTTCTTTGATATCCGGGGGTCCGCATCGTTCCTCGTGGACATGCTCGACCCGGACATTCCGAACCCATCTGCGGCGCTGCCGCCGGAGACAAAGAGAAATCACAAGTCCTTAAAGGATTCGCCCTGAGTGTTACTTGCCCGAAGGGTCCAAAGGTCCCGACAAGTAGGTACCCTGTTTTGGGATAGCAGTTATGTAAGTTACTATGTTGGAGAGTATATGATAACTCGTTACTTTGACCCTTAGGATTATACTAGGTACCGATTTGTCTATTGAATTGCTATAGGGCTCGTTTCGGTTGTATAGTCGTGTAACTAGTGTGATATTATCATGAGGTTCTTGTGTTTATACCTGAGTCTCCTTTGCATTTCATGTTATGGGGTCCTATCCATATCAGTGGATAGCCAAACAAGGGAGCTAAAATGGATACTTTAGGTACTTGTAGTGCTTCCTTCCCGATGCATACTGTAGCAGCTGTTTTAAGCGGCGTAGGTACGCGTTTGTTATCCTCAACCCCCAAAGCGCTTGACCTTAAGCCTGCAAAACAAGTTTCAGCGCTGCGCCCTAGATACGACACCAAGCCCTGAGCCCTAAACCTCTGAATCCAACCCTTATAAGCCATAAACCCTAAAGACCTGAACGCTGAACCCCAAACACCTAAAACGTCCCGGTCAAAGAAACACCTCGACCGCAGATGAGAGTTTCCGAAAGTAGGGATCCTACTATTTTGAGTGCTATAATATGGGGGTCCCATATATTCGGATACTCCCATATCTTAAACCGTAATTCTCACGGCCTTACAGCAAAATACCCTAAATCCTAAATCCCTCGGCCGACCCTGACCCCATATCTCGGCCTGGGCCCTCCGTCTCCCCTCTATTAGACCCTAAATGCCCATTATTTGGGGCCATATACCCCTATTTGAGGGCACAAGGCGGGTCCTGGGAGTCTTGCCCCAACTCCATATACACCTAAACTCGAAACCCTAAACCCGAAAGCCCTAAACCAACCCTAAGCCCACATCTCGAGTCAGGTGCGAACTCCACCCTTAGAGCTCCGAGAGGGCAGCGAATTCGTCGTGAAAGCCCGGCCACCGGTCCGGTGCTCAGATATGTGGGGATCTAGGGCTATGGGGGTACGTTCAAATGGATCTATGGGGTTTCCTTTAAAGGGATCTATTGGGGTTCCTTTAAGGGCTCCTTTAGGTGATTTATAAGGGTTCCTTTAAAGGGTTTAGGGGTTTAGGGAAATAACTGAGGAGGGTTCGGGGATAATTTAGGGGTTTAGGGAAATTGGGGGTTTGCGGGTGTGGTTTTGGGTTTGGTTTGTCGTTGGTTGACGTTCGCTTGCGTCTTGATCTTACTATATGCAGCTGGGCTAACTATGGTTATATAACCCATACTTGGAGGGTCGGGGCACTTAGTAATAAGTAGGTATGTAGACTTATAAGTACCCTAATAGGGACCCTAAGTGTGGTTATGGTACGTCTAAGTCCCCCGACCCTCCAAGCATCCCCCCTATGAACAGCGACCCTGCAAGCCCAAAGCCCAAAAACCGCAACTCGCGCAACCTAAATCCCAAACCCAACGCCAGAGTCCCAGAAAGACAAGCAAACCTGAAATCCTAGCCCCTAAGCGACGGGTCCTAAAATGACCACGAGCAAAGATACTTTTAATTGCATCCTAAGCCGAAACTACAGCCTCAAATCTAAAGATACCCTATGCCGAAGAAACATGAGGACAAGGTCGAGGTGACACTGCCCCGTGCCGAGCTGAGACGCCAAGGTTTGGGTTTTACGTTGACCCCCAAAGCCCAGGTATATGTTCTGAGAAAGGGACTGGAAAGGTCGGTTTCTACGTTGATTAACCTAGGGCTTAGTGTTCCCGAAGGATGTAACGGGTCGTAAAAAGTTGAATGGTGTTCCACCCTCAACCTAAAGCCCTAAGCTGCCCTACACCTTATAGACTCTATATCCCAAACCTTGAACCGTAAGCCCTAAACCTTAAACTCACCCTATTCACGCCGTGAACCCGAAACCCTAAACCTTAAGCCATGGTCATTTTGGGATTTGTTGCGCAGCGGTTCTTGTGATCTGGGCTTCAGAGTTCGGTTTAGGGTTTACTTAGAAGGTCGGGGGACTTAGTAACTGGCTATTTTGTAGACTTACAAGTACCATGCCCCCAATTAGGGTCCCTTTTAGGGTACTTATAAGTCTACTTACTACCTACTTACTAAGTCCCTGAACCCTAAACCCTAAACCCTATAGTACCCCTATGGACCCCTTTAAGGAACCCTTAGAATCCCCTTTAAAGGAGCCCCCTACTTCCTAGGAGCCCGAGGACGGGTGGTTAAGATACATTCTAGGATGCCCAGCAGTACCCTTATTTCATTTTTTTTGTGGTCCTAGGTTCCTTATACAGTTCCCATACCCCTAAAACCTAAACCAGTAGAGTCCTATAACTACCCAGGAACCTCCAAGCAGGCTCAGGGGGCCTGGATTCTAGCACCGCCCACCTGTTTCGCAAAGACCGTGAACTTGGCCTCTTGCTGTTCTAGGTTCCTGAGTAGTGCCCTTTTGCCCTTTTCAGTTTGGGGTCCCCCCTTGTTACAACCGAACAGTAGGATAAAGGGTACCCTTATCACAAAGGGGCTACTCAGAAACCTAGTGTTTGTGCATAGGTGTAGGGGCTTCGGCAAATCTGTAGGCTTGTCCCGAGCCCGGTGCCGTGTTCTTGCCAGCCGGAACAATTACCTTAGTTACTGGGGTTTCTCTTTATACCTGTATGCTAACATGCCCCCGAAACGCTGGTCTAAGTGTTATGGCTCCCTCTGAATATGAGTTGGGTGGTTGTCAAACTTATGGTCTCTTTTTGGGTCCTTCTTATAATCCCTAAACCCTAAACCCTAATATTACAAAAAGAAACCCAAAATATTTAGGGTGCCCAAAAAGGGGTCATAGTTTTGACAACTACCCAGTTACAGGCAGGCCCGAGACCCAAGAAGCCTCAAGCCCGCCCAGTCTCTACTCAGAGGCCCAGGGGACAAGGGTTTTTTAAGGGTTTAGGGTTTAGGGTGTTTTAAGGGTTTAGGCTTTAGGGGTTTAAGGGTTTAGGGTTGTTTTAAGTGTTTAGGGTTTAGGTTATGTTTAAGCGTTTAGGGTTTAGGGGTTTTTAAGGGTTTGGGGTTTAGGGTGTTTTAAGGGTTTAGGGTTTAGGGTGTTTTAAGGGTTTAGGGTTTAGGGGTTTAAGGGTTTAGGGTTGTTTTAAGTGTTTAGGGTTTAGGTTATTTTTAAGGGTTTAGGGTTTAGGGGTTTTTAAGGGTTTAGGGTTTAGGGTTTTTTAAGGGTTTAGGGTTTAGGGTGTTTTAAGTGTTTAGGGTTTAGGGTTTAAGGGTTTAGGGTTGTTTTAAGTGTTTAGGGTTTAGGTTATGTTTAAGGGTTTAGGGTTTAGGGGTTTTTAAGGGTTTAGGGTTTAGGGTTTAGGGTTTTTTAAGGGTTTAGGGGTTTAGGGTGTTTTAAGGGTTTAGGGGTTTAAGGGTTTAGGGTTGTTTTAAGTGTTTAGGGTTTAGGTTATGTTTAAGGGTTTAGGGTTTAGGGGTTTTTAAGGGTTTAGGGTTTAGGGTTTTTTAAGGGTTTAGGGTTTAGGGTGTTTTAAGGGTTTAGGGTTTAGGGGTTTAAGGGTTTAGGGTTGTTTTAAGTGTTTAGGGTTTAGGTTATGTTTAAGGGTTTAGGGTTTAGGGTTTTTAAGGGTTTAGGGTTTAGGGTTTTTTAAGGGTTTAGGGTTTAGGGTGTTTTAAGTGTTTAGGCTTTAGGGTTTAAGGGTTTAGGGTTGTTTTAAGTGTTTAGGGTTTAGGTTATGTTTAAGCGTTTAGGGTTTAGGGTTTTTTAAGGGTTTAGGGTTTAGGGTTGTTTAAGGGTTTAGGGTTTAGGGTGTTTTAAGGGTTTAGGGTTTAGGGGTTTAAGGGTTTAGGGTTGTTTTAAGTGTTTAGGGTTTAGGTTATTTTTAAGGGTTTAGGGTTTAGGGGTTTTTAAGGGTTTAGGGTTTAGGGTTTTTAAGGGTTTAGGGTTTAGGGTGTTTTAAGTGTTTAGGGTTTAGGGTTTAAGGGTTTAGGGTTTAGGGTTATGTTTAAGGGTTTAGGGTTTAGTGTTTAGGGTTTAGGTTATGTTTAAGGGTTTAGGGTTTAGGGGTTTTTAAGGGTTTAGGGTTTAGGGTTTAGGGTTTAGGTTTTTTAAGGGTTTAGGGTTTAGTTTAGGGTGTTTTAAGGGTTTAGGGGTTTAAGGGTTTAGGGTTGTTTTAAGTGTTTAGGGTTTAGGTTATGTTTAAGGGTTTAGGGTTTAGGGGTTTTTAAGGGTTTAGGGTTTAGGGTTTAAGGGTTTAGGGTTTTTTAAGGGTTTAGGGTTTAGGGTGTTTTAAGGGTTTAGGGTTTAGGGGTTTAAGGGTTTAGGGTTGTTTTAAGTGTTTAGGGTTTAGGTTATGTTTAAGGGTTTAGGGTTTAGGGTTTTTTAAGGGTTTAGGGTTTAGGGTTTTTTAAGGGTTTAGGGTTGTTTTAGTGTTTAGGGTTTAGGTTTTGTTTAAGGGTTTAGGGTTTAGGGGTTTTTAAGGGTTTAGGGTTTAGGGTGTTTTAAGGGTTTAGGGTTTAGGGTGTTTTAAGGGTTTAGGGTTTAGGGGTTTAAGGGTTTAGGGTTGTTTTAAGTGTTTAGGGTTTAGGTTATGTTTAAGGGTTTAGGGTTTAGGGTTTTTTAAGGGTTTAGGGTTTAGGGTGTTTTAAGGGTTTAGGGTTTAGGGGTTAAGGTAAGTAGGCTATAACTCGAGTTACAAGTACCCAAATAAATGGAGCTACTCCTATGATACCCCTAATCAATACCCGACTTCTAAGTCCCCTTCTGGGCCTCCAAGTAGGGTCTAGGCTGTAGATATAGGGCTTAAACCTGGCCCATTGCCATCTAGAAGCCATACCTGGCCTAACTATTCCCAAATAGTAACCTACCCTCAGGGTCCATGTACTCATATAGTATATACATTGGCCTTAATGTAGTCCCTATATAGGTACTTTGGGGATCCCAAATAACCATAAATTCCCTACCCTGTCAGGTTCCCTATTCGGGCTTTCTTGATGTAAGTGCTTAAAAAATACCATACAGGTTCTTTGGGGTTACTTGGAGGTTCATATGGGTAGTCAAGAGTGGGCTTGTGAGTCTCTTAATGTGGGCTGCAAGTATAGTTACCCTACTTACCCATGAACCTCTTAGTAAGGTTGACGCTCAAATGGCATCTGCGCTTGCGTCGAAGGTCTTCTAGAGGACTCCGAATCGGTGGAATACTCGGCAGCTGGACTTTGATGAGCTAAGGATGCAGGATTTGGGGTGGAGCATTAGGGTTTAGGGTTTAAGGGTCTAGGGATTTGGGGTTCGGGGCTTGGGAATTTTGCGCGGTTGCAGGGGTTTGAGGTTTGGGATGGGGGGCTTGGGTTTACGGAGTTTAGGCTGTTGGAATACTGGCTTTGCGTTGTACGACTCAGTGTGTAGCATGTAAACCCCAAACCTTCAACCCATATCCCAATCCTTAAACCGAAGCCTCTAAATAATTGAAAATTTAATTAGTGGTAATGTCTCCCCGCCCCCCAGGTCTTTACATGCTGTTTTTGCCCCGATGCTCTTTTCTAAACAAGCTCCAAAGCTCTACACGACTGAGGTCGGCATGACGCCTCTGGGGCCTAAGGATCAGAAGGCCATCTGGAAGTGTTTTCGGGCTACCAAGTCCTGTGTAGTATGCAGTGTCTCTTTTAAGTTGGTTGTTGTAGGATTATAAACCCGTCTTCACATCATAGCCTACAAGGAAGAGATAGTCTTTGCGATAGTCGAGTCTGTCTTGCTAGAACTCCATGGGTAGGCTTAAGCTCCATGCAACTGCAAGTTCGATATTGGATCTTTGTGCTGGACAGCAATGCCGCAAGCACCAACGATAGAACCATGAAAATAGTGAATGCGAACCCGTTTGACGCGCCGTCGTAGCAACATAAAGCAGTCTGAGATAACGGCAAGAAGATGCATGGTGCTCTTTGCAAGAGCATCTCGCATGTACTTATATCCCCACTCAAGTAAACCTCCCTCCAACAAACTCACGAAAGAAACGCAGATCACTAAATTGAAGGCTTTTGTTGCATTGTTCCACCACGCTGTGTTCAGATCAGGGATTCCGGACCGGAAGGAGCTCGTCTACATGCCTTGTTTGCTGTTATTCTTTAGCTTCGGATGTTCAGCGCTGAGCCCTCAAAGCACGTCCGCATGCAGGTTCGGAATGCCTCGCAGCTTATTGCCTTCAGTGGCTTCACCGAAGCTTTACATGAAGGCATGGCAATGTGCGCCCTAAACCCCTAAACACAAAAAAACCAGAAACCTAAATCCAAAACCCTAAGCCCAAAACATAAACCCAAAGCCCTAAACCCAAAACCCTAATCCCGAAACCCTTGGCAAGGTGGAGTCGCTTTTCTTTCGCGGTAGATGTTTTTGGATCTTCAGGGTGGCCTCCCCGAGCCCATGCACACGGAAGGATTGAATCACAACTCTGGTTTGCTCCTCAGACTTCCCAGAGACGCCAATATCTATAGTCTCCATTGTAGTTCCTTTTTTTTGGTTAACCAAAATCTCTATTGTAGGATCCTAGCCATCAAACCGGTTAACCAAAAAAAGAACCTACAATGGAGACTCTAGGTATCCCTTAATCTTAACCCTGAATTGTAATAGGATCCCTTATATGGTTTAAGTTGGGTATGGCCCCCACTCAGCAACAGTTGAATAATATTCATAATATAGAAATATAGGGACGACCTTAATAGTAGCCCTATTCTAGACTCTTACTGTACGGGGGCAGTACCTCAGATTTAAGGCATATTCCTGAATTATATAAGGGGTATTGGAGCCTCTGGCTTAAGCCGGACTCCCCTGCAGGCGAGACGCTCGAGGTATTCGTGGGCTGTGACTCGGCGATCGTGTCCGCCAGTCACCATGATTCAGGGGCTAGTTACCAGAGGGGCCGTAATAATTACCTTCATTTCTTTTGGGTTCCTTACTTTATGGAATTATAGTATCATGGGTTAGAAGCTGCCCCGACCCTGTAATAGTGACTATAATTATAAGGATTATAGTAGGGCCCTATTATATTCCTATTATACCACCATTACAGGGCGGGGGCAGCTTCTAAATCAATTGCCCCAAAACCCTATTCTAATTATTAAGGCCCCTACATCAGGCCAGGCTCCAGTCCCAGGTGCCAGTGAAGAAATAGATGTGTGAGGGTAAAACCAGGTTTGGGACCCAAAGGCTCCATGTAGCCTCATATAGTATATACTTACACCCTAAATCCCCCTTTAAGGCCTAAGTATATACTATATGGGTACATGGAGCCTTAGGGGGATTAAGACGATTGAAACTGCAGCAACTGCCGTCCATGACGAAGGTCGCTAGAAGGCGAACTTTTAGGAATGCGCATTATGTTTCTGTTTCCTCTTGGGCTGGCTTTCCAGTGGGATGTCAACAGTCAAAGGGCAGTAAGGGTTCTTCCATTGCGGACGTTCCGCCCTAGACCCCACTTGGAGGGTCGGGGGACTTAGCAACTGGTTATTTTAGGGCTTACAAGTACCATAACCCCAATTGGGGTACCTTTTTAGGGTACTTATAAGTCTACTTACTTACTGAGACCCTCCAAGTGACCTCCTCCGCCCTAAACCTTAAACCATTGCTTTCGACCTTGCTCCAAGCCCTAATCCCTTGCTTTAGACTTTAGCCCCTGCCCCCTGACAAACCCCCCATGCCCTAAACCCCTATACCCTCCAGACTAATCCACTAAACCCGAAACCTCACGTACTATAGGGGCCTAAATACTTACCAATACTATTATTTGGGGGGCTTCTTATCACGACTATGGTAAGTACATCCAAAACCCTGTTCTACTTATCCAGGTCCTTATATTATGGTACTCTCATAGATCCCGTATATATATCCCTTACAGGAACCCTTTAAGGGAACCCTATTCCAATTATCAAGGTCCCTTGAGTAGAGCGACCGAGGCATCGACCCGGGAACTGCGCTGAGATTCGCGCTGATGGCGCGACGGCGATGCCACGGAGCCATGGCCGCATCTCACCCTGAGAGCCCTTAACGGAGTAAGGGGGTTAAAAATCTTCATGCCGCATCTCCCCATGAATTGAAGGTCCAGCATTTCAGATACCTTCCAGGGCTCTCTATCTCAACCCCTAAGCTGTTTTCCTTAACCCTGAACCCAAACCTAAACCATAACCCGAGTCCTCGCGAAGGTGGGGTTTGCAATTTTGACACGGGTCGGGAGTTGTTTCTGTGTTTTTCAGGGTTGGGTTTAGGGTTTGAGACTACCATGCCTCCAGAACGTACAGACGGATCCTGCAATTCATGAAAGAACTGCTTGACCCCAAGCTCCCTGAAACTAAGAAGGCCATGGAAGAGAAAAGAACGCATCGACAATCCTCCAACAGATCCCCTAAATCATAAACTTGCAACCCTAACCCTATACACATTAAACCTTAAAAACCTTCAACCCTCAACCTTAAACCCTAAACTCTGAACCCTACCTTAACCCCAAGTAGCCTACCTTTTTTAAGGACTTATATAAAGAAATCATACTCGGGAGCCCTGAAAAGGTAGGTTCCTTAGCGTCCAGGTAAGCTTTTTTAACCATAAACCCCAAACCCTGCACATTAATCCTTGACACCTTCAACCCTAAACCTTAAACCCTAAACCCTGAACCCTAAGCTTTATTAGCCATAAACCCAAACCCGCAGCAGTGCTGGCCCCTCAAGCCCGAAGAGCCAGGTTTCGGAGCGCCAGAATTCAAGGCTCGCCTTTGCAACTTCTTGGTGTTACTTTGTTTTTTGGGGGGAGGGGGGAAATCATGGGACGCCGTAAGTAGGTAGCAGGGTTTTTTTTTTGTTTAACGGTGTTTCGGATTGGCGGTCTACGCCTAAGATCCCTGGCTCAGGTCCGATGTGCAGGGTTGTCGATACTTTGTGTAGATGACGGTGCTGGTATCACGTTGTTTTGTTGAGTCTTCGATTATCCTTGCGTTGGGGTGGAGTTGGAACAACAGAAAGTTTCTGAAGAATGAGGGTTCCGTATGTACGGTAGGTTTAGTTTTGTTTCTCTCAATCTCTGACATGCCCAACTGACACGGACACCCAGGAAACAGCTGGCGTCAGAGTGTGTCAGGCTTCCGTTTGTTGAAATCCCTGCCTCCTATAAATGCCGAGCCCTAACATTCAATCCCAAATCCCTGGCCCTAGACCGAGCCTTGAACTCAAATCCTTAATTGAACTTAGGGATACCCTAAATACTAAAACCAACCTAAACCCCTAAACCCCTAAACCCTGAACCCTAAACCCTAAACCCAAAGTCTTGGAGTCTACCTGGGCAATACTAACCTGGGTTTGGAGTACCATACTTGAATCTTTTTGGGTACCTCTTCCTTAAAGGAAATAGTATGAACAAAGTCTATACTTTTTTTCTCTTTGGTTACTTCAAAGTCCAGAATATCGGAGGAGCTTGCGGAAAGCGACATCTTGCTTTGGCCCGAGAGTCAGCCACGTGGTTCCCTGGTGCCAGAATCCTGGGAGTTACCAGCGCCCCGTCATGTTTGATGTAGAGGCTTTAATAACTAGAATAGGGTTTGGGGGGCTCGTTATCATAATTATCCTATAATTTATAAGATACCCCAAAGCCCTATTCTATTCATTAAGGCCCCTACACTATTGCTGACAACGTTGGCTGCAGGATGGTTGTTGCGTTGAAGTTGGGAAAGCCGGAGGTCGGCTGTACTTCGTATAGGCTTCACTAAGTCACTCTTTTTTTTGATTTTTGGATCAAGCGTAATTAAGCTTTAAACCTAAAGGTTTTTTAAGACTTTACCAAGTCACTAAGTTTTCTGGTTTCTGGTTCAACCCTAAGCTTTAAAGCAGCAGCTATTTCAGGGTTTGGGGGCCTCGGCTCCCACTAGGTGCCAAAGCTGCTGCCCGTCCTAAACCCTAAAACCCTAAGCCTTAAGCTCTGGTGCGGATGCTGCCTCTGGGAAAAAGGAGCTCCACAAAAAAACCTCTAAACCCTAGAATCTAAAACCCTAAACCCCTTAAACCCTAAACACACCCTAAACCCTAAACCCTAAATAAACCCCGAAGCCCCCTAAACCCTAAAGCCACCAGGTGCCAAAGCCACTGCCCGTCCCCGACGAATTCGAGAGCAGCAGCGGGCGATGGCGGGGCCGAGCGGTCACTTGGAGCCAGGAGGGGTTGGAGATATGGTTGATGAAAAAAACCCTGCCCATAATAAGGAATAGAGCATAGTTCCCATAATTAGTTTAGGGTCCTTCAGGTAATGCAGGATTTGTATCATCAACCTGTTGATGATATAAATCCTGCATTACCCTAAGGACCCTAAACTATTCAATTTCATGGCATTTTCCTTATTACCTTAAGGAACCTGAACTAAGGGAATTATGCTATATTCCTTTTTACCTTAAGGACCCTAAACTATGGGAATTATGGTATATTCCTTCATATGGGTACTGCAGGATTGATATCATCAGCCGTACGGTTGAGGAGGGTTAGGCTTGCGTAGCCAGTGGGGGAACTTTGAACTTTTTGGCCTATATATATATATATACACACACACACACATTGGGTCTATCTTAGAAAGTT